GCACTTGCTTCGCCAGACCTACCCATTCAATTATTTCTCTTTCTCCCACAAACTTACATGACTTCCAGACAGTATACCTTTGGATAATACCGGGCAGCCGCACTCCAACCAGTCAAGCATGATTAAAAATGTCTTGTGTATTGTATCAAGACTGTTTGTTAGCCTTGTTGATGCTTGCTTTATGAGACACTTGAGCCGCGAAATAACCGCCTGTCTTGCCGTTGTTTGTTGCTTTACTGTGCGTCTATGGTAATCCACGGCCAGAGTATTGCTTCTCTATTGGTGGGATCAATGCTGCCCTCCGAAAACGCAGTGATAGGGGAACTGCCAATTTCCCGCATTTAGTGCAGGTGTACTCGGAGAGCCTCCCAGTTACGCCATGTATTTGCCTGTTTCCACCATTGGTATACATATGTGAACTGAGCGATCACTTAGTTGAGTACAGGTCCTCGTCTCTATATGTGATCGCAGAAATATTTTTGAAGGTATTTTGATGCACCTGGTCGCACAGCAGGACTAATAGTCCAGCTTCTACCACAGCTGTAGGAGCAAGAGAATCGTCAATTCCCGGCACTTACCGAAAGAACAGACACGCGTGTGCTGCATAAATGGGGCTCACAGAACAACGGGAGTAAGTCTCATAGGAGGAAACCCACATTGCGCAACATGACTGAGCGAAATCGCGAGATGCATGAAGATTAGGTAATATCCACAAATATTTTCCTTTACAGTGGTTCTTCCCATCTATAAGGCTGTCTTTGCATATAATATCTCTAGTATAAGATTGGGTAAGACTTCTTAAAGAAGTTGTGCCCAAAGTCGTTATGTGATTTGAAGGCCACTTTTCCTTTGATTGCAGAAGATGATCGGTTAGGACGCTAACTAACGTGAAGTATGAAGAAGAATCGGTAACCAAACGTACAACCACAAGAAGTGCACGTTGGCTAACTGAGCTGTGGTAGATAATCGGGCAATTATAGATAATAGAGAGAGCGATGGCATAACAATCCCTGGAAACGAAACTCACCCATAAACGAGAAACCGTGTGTAGCACCTCTCTCAGCCCTTCGAACACTCGAGCGTTCCTAGCCTGGCAAAACGGCGAATCTTTTGTACTATAAGTAAAAAAGGCCGAAATCCGGTTCCAGGCAGCTTCTCTTCAATTAAGGTGCTATTGATTATTGTTTCAACGACTGTGTCGAGCGTTTTTACAGAGAAGCTGTCTTAGTCTACCGTGTGCCACCATCGTCGTTGTAGTAACAACAGTAGTAGTAGAGCAGCAGCAGGAGTAGTAGTAGTAATACTGGTAGTAGTTGTAGTAGTAGTAGTGGTAATAAAGGAGTTTACCTGACCAGTGAGTCAAGTAATTAGGAACCTAATAAAAAAAGCTTTTTAATCGTGATGATAAATCAAGATGACGAAGATTAACCTTCTTGCACTCTTGCGAAGCGACGAAACTCGTGATACCGTAATAAAAGTCAGTTTCATCAAAAGGGTGAAGCAATGATAGCGATAGAAAAATATTCGAATGTTGCACAAAGCAAGGGACAGGAACAGCTGTGCAAGCACTCGAACGCACAAGTGGGCATTAGTATACATTTACATTGCTTTGTTGTAGCCTCAAATTTTGGAATGCGCGCAGAGGCGTGTGCCGACGTATGCGGGCGAAGCAAAATGCATACCGTCGATAAGTGACGCAGACACGAGCATAAAGGTGATTTCGGTATGGATTCGTCTCTGTCCCTAAGTAAATGAGACGCTGAGAACACAGTGAAGAGAATTACGTGGCCCGCGTGAGGTTTTATGCAATACCACCCGTTTCAGATGCTTCGCCTGTGTATCAGGCTTAAATAACTTATGACAAACAGTACAGAACATGCGAAACGGGCATAGCCACTGGATACCTAGCTGTGCTTCAAGAAGCTTTCTCGGTGGCTATTTGTACTCGTGCGCACGTTGTCAAGAGCTATTCGCGACTGTGACAGGTATGATTGCACAAAATTACTTTCACCGAAAAGGTGAAGCAATGAATGTGATATCGAAAAACGCAATGTTATACGAAGTGAGGCTGGCAGTCCACGCATTTAGATCCAATCTCACGCAATGCTACAAAACGCTGCTGTAAAAGAACACGGCCGCTCCAGATATATTTTCGGCACTGTTCTTTCTTGTGTGTGTGTGTGTGTGTGTGTGTGTGTGTGCGTGTGTGTGTGTGTGCGCGCGCGCGCGCGCGTGTGTGTGTGTGTGTGTGTGTGTGTGTGTGTGTGTGTGTGTGTGTTAAGAGTGCAGCACATGGAAGCTCCAGCCTGCTGTGGGGGCACAAGCCGCGCGCTGATCGTTGACGTGACAGCGCGGAAATCATAAGCACCTCCTCCTCCCCTTGTTTGCTCACAAGAGAAGCTCGCGTGCAGACAACCCCGATCAGAAAGGCAATGTTCGCTCTTCAGAAAGAGGAAGCTAGCGCATCCTTCCCCGTATATATATATATATATATATATTTATATATATATATATATATATATATATATATATATATATATATATATAAATATATATAAATATATATATATATATATATATATATATATATATATATATATATATATATATATATATATATATATATGTATATATATATGTACAAATGCATATACATGAACGACGGTGACTCCACTGGTAATCCCGACAGCAAAAACAAGCCGAGACTGTTCATATAATTGATATCGCAATAATAACGCGTTTTCGTCGACTTGGGGGGTACGATAGGCCAAGAGAACTGGGATCGCGGGGGTAAACACAGACACAAAGCAAGGAGGAGGCACACAGCACGAGCGCTCAACTAACAACTGGTTTATTCTCACGTTCTAAGGACGTGTAAGTACACAAGGGTGCGCATGTCAACAGGAATAAGATAATAGTGTGAGTAGCAAGCGTAGCGTTCATTCGCAACACTTGTCTACGAATTATCTATATAGTTAAACTCACAGTCAAGTAGTGATAATGACGGATGGCTGATACATTGATTCTTATTTCTATAAATGTGATATGCTTCAGAAATTTCACGCGTGGTTTGAAGCGGACGCCAGTAATGTACACTTGTTTTTTCAAACAACGGTTCACACTTGCAGGAATTGCAATGTGAAGCTAAAACAGAAGCATAACAGATTTCTAGAAATAAGAATCATTGTATCAGCCATCCGTCATTATCACTACTTGACTGTGAGTTTAACTATATTGCTAATTTGTAGACAGGTGCTTCGAATGAACGCCACGCTTGCTGCTCACACTATCATCGTATTCCTATTGACATGCGCACTTTTGTGCACCTATATGCGCTTCTGACGTGAGCATAAACCAGTTGTTAGTTGAGTGCTCGTGCTGTGTGCCTCCTTTTTGCTTTGCGTCTGTGTTTACCCCCGCGCTCCCACTTCTCTTAACCATCATGAATTACCAACTAGCCCACCTTTCCATCCTATTACGACAGGTCGTACTCAAACGAAACTGTAGCGTTACTGCCAGGACTTGCATGAGTTCACGCTTGCGGGGAATGCACGTGGTTACACGAGGAAAAGAGTCCTCACTAAAGAACCCTGAAATTCAGGAGCCAAACTTAATAGCTGGCAAAAGAGACGACAGCTTCACTGAGCTATAGTGTTCATGACATGGAACTAACAATAATTTTGTTGCGCATACTGCCGAAGACGGTCACATATGAGGTAGACAGTCACACAGCTGTTGACCATTGCAGTGCCGAAAACATCCAAGTGTACCAAGCGAAGCGATAGACACAGGAGAAATGTGAGCTCTTCCTCTGCTATCTCGTAAATAAAAGACAACGCTTCATACTTGAAGGTAGACTGCATGAAAATGAGTTGGTAAGTTTATGTCCCTTCGCGGTGATTGCGTAACTTCATGACTGGTTTACTTCAATGAACGGATCAATAAACTTTATTAAAGTTAGTGCGGCAGTTCTCTGGTTAGAAAACAACTTCTCTCCTCTGATACCAAGATAGCTCGTGGGAAACACGACTTCCAAGACCAGTGCGAAGGGACAAGTGACGTGGGGATTGGCTAGACTTAGTTTGACAGCTGACACTACATCAACTGCTACTGCACCACCGCCAGCCAACTCAGCGGCTGCCCAAGTACAACAATCATTTCACTCGAATGACACCAAGAGCAAGTACATTGTGATCGGCTTAGCCACAGCAGTGATATGGCACACCTCCGAGAGATTTGGCCCCCTTATGATGATTAATCGCTGATAACCGACGGCACACGAAAGTACCGGATGCAATGCAGGCTTATTGCCACGCTACAATGGCTAAGTAATGTGTTCATAATTCAAATTTGAAGTAACGCTAGTCAATACACGTCAGTACAGCGGCGTCCCAACACCACACTGCAAAGCCCAACGAAACATCGAAGCATTAAACCTAAACTTTGACGTTTACGCGTGGAATCCACGGTATGCTTAGAGCATATATCGTCACGCTGGATGACTTTGGCTTCATTTTAAAAACCCGGGGTTCGTTAACAAACATCTAAACACTGCGTTTCAACTCATTGTAGTTTTTCCGTGTGTTGCCCCTGTCTTGTGGCAACACACGGAAGGGGTGCAATGGCCATGAATCGAACCGGGCTCCTCATGCTTAGAGGGCAATACCGTAGCCAATTATCCACTTCTTGTCGTAGCTGGCTCCTTCTCTTGACTACAGAACATTCGTTCCTGCGTCATAATGTCGTGCCTGCGCCAGCCGTAGACCATCCTTCCTGACACGTGCGTGCCTATTTCATTTGAGTAATCACGTAAACAAGATAGTCCTTTTTTCAGCTTTTTTTTTCTTGTCTCCCGCTGTTTGCGTGCGTCCTAAGCGGAAAAAGGCTGAACGCGCTTAACGGCGCTTGGTTCCCGCAATATAGTGGGAGAACGGCATAGACCCTGACAAAGACCTTGCTACGCCTCTGTCCTTCACTTAAGGTTTCTCTTCTGACGTTCGCCCTTTCGTGCTCTCTCCCGCATTGAAAGCGATAACTTTCTCGGGGCTCGCTTGCGACGGTGGCCATTTCGAATTGCATACCGCAAGAGCGCACACCGTTATGGCTTCTGGTCATTATTACATGCTTCTCGTCCTGTTGGCGGCACCACTGCTTGGTGAGTTTCTCGTGTCGAGTGGGCCGGACTTTTCGTCAACAACGTCTTCCGTTTAACTGGTTCAGTGTCTCAAAGTTTATGACGTCCTGCAACTGCACCTGTCGGTGGATTCTTTTGCTGGTCATGGCTATTGTATTGCAATAGGGTGAAACGCCGAAGCCCATAGGTACCAAAATATGGTGGAATGTTGAAGAAATCTATGGCGTTTACGTGCAGTCGCTACTGCCGACCACCACATCCTTCAAAAGCAGTGTTATTCTCAATGCATAACTCAGTAATTTTTCTTGGCTGTCCTCACTCATTCGTCTTAATGGTTTCCATTTCACACCTGCAAGCTTTAGCTTAAATTAAAAAGGTGAAATATAGAAGTTCTAAAGTACTATGTGACTCCATCGCGTTCAGGCGTGAATTATGACAGACTGTCTGCGAATGTGCGAAATTCGTATGGTATGATTCTAAGACCCTTAGTATTACATTCCAAAAAATGAAGTTGAGGAAGGCGTTGTTTTTGTGTGAATTTGTTGAGCTAATGGCAATTAAAGTATTATTCACTCTCTAAGTAATACGCTATCAGTCGGCTATAGTACTTGCATAGAAATAATCTAATATTAGACCCGAAAGACATACACAGTTTATATTTCGGTTCTATTAATTTCAAGCAAACTAAAAAAAAGAAAACTCCTGACGTTGATCCTTGAGTGTGGCACGCCGAAAGATCGTCGATAATCGTAGTGTCTCCAGCTAATTGATTTTATGCAGTAATGTGCAGCAGACTAAAGTTAAATGACTACTAGTTGTCCATTCTAAAAGCCTGCACGAATGAGCACAGTGCGTTTAAAGTAATTAAAAAAACACGCGGTCTGTGATGCGCCTCCGAAGTTTATGTGTACAATTATACACACGGCCGCAGAAGGGGGTAGCTCGCAATCTCACCACTCATCCTCTTCCACACGCACAGAAGGAACAGAAACAAGGGAAGACGGGGATAGTGTTATTGGTCCATAATTATCAACTCAACCCTAGAACAGAACATGTCAATATCATCGGCACCTGCATAGCAGTTAAGTTAGACACCTTCAATGCTGCAAATTATGCGCTCACCTTCTTTAAATGCATCGAAAGAGGCCACACACGCACCACCCGTTTCGTTCAATTCTCAAGACATTTTTTGGTCTCAAAATAATGACTCAATGCTTCATAATAAACCGGAAGTGCGTGTACATACCAGTATAAGAAAACTGGTAGGATAATCTGAACGAGCCCCCATCTAAGCGTGGACAGCGCCAGTCGCTTCTGGCGGACATTGTTGAGCCGGTTCTACAGTAGGGTTACAAGTTTTTATCAATGTAACTGAGGTTTGCCGTCTCTATTATTCATCTTCTTTTTTAGGCACGTGCCAGCTTCAGTTAAGCGACGGCTGCAAGGTGGAAACCCTGCGAGCTTGTGGAGAAGACTTCATTCCGTATTCCAAGGGTCCCTACCTGCACGAGTCTGGGACAGAGTTGGACGAAGGATGCAAGTGGGTAATCTAGCGTCTTATCCCGTGTTTATACTGGCGCACACCATCTCTGAAAGTGTGGCGCTTTGTGCATATCGCGTATCATATATAGATATGCTGCAAGACAGTTTTGCGCATGAATTGAAGTGATGCTTGGTAGTACCAGTGTACGTGTGTCCAACGGCCCCAGCCAGTGGGGACATTGTATTAGAAACCGGCTTCTAGCATGGGACAGAGTTGTCCTGATTCAAAGCTTGGCTCGGGCTATAGTAGCTTTGGAACTTTTATCTTTACTGAAGCAGAGTAGTACAGACAATTGGCCATCATAACAAGTGTTACCATTTTTTTATTTGGATGATTTCAGGTGTAAGGGCCACCTCCGCCAGAAGTCTCATAAGCTGAACTTCTTCTGCTATAACAAGGTGAAGTCGAATAGAACAGACACGGCATGGCATAAAAGCAGCTTATCTGCTCAGAAAAAAAACAATCCATCGCTTTACTGGCAGCTATCCAGATAAACATGTCATTCGTTAGGGTAATTGTAATTGGTCATATGCCTTCGCTTCTATATACCAATTAGATTGACAATCGTGCGACTAACACTATAATCGCATTGTGATTTCGTATCTCTGTTACTTGTCGAAAAATTGCGTGGTGAACGCCAGTTAGAACACTCCTTTTTTTTTACTCAGCTCGCGGAATCTTTTGTGTTAGCTGTGCGCAGCGAAAAAAAATCATTTTTTTCACAAGTTAAGGCATTTAGCGGCCATAACAAAAGCCACGTACCCTAACAAAAAAAAAACACTCACAGGTTTGCGCAGTTGTACAAGTGCTTTGAGGCAAAAATTCAAAATCTGACGTGACTGTGTGATAAAACAAGGCATAAATTATTTTGGTTCAATTAAAAAAAACGCCATTACCAGTAAGTGGATAAAATATTTATCAAAATTTAGACCTTAAAATCATGCAAGAATACTCATAAAGCAACACGCCGACTATAGCAGGTAAGAGCATGCCGAAAAGACCTATCCTCATATCATTGTGGGTGTATTTTTTTAAAGTATTGCATTAGGTTTTTATTTCATCGATCAAGCACCAATTGTAAAGACTACATTGACACGCTAATTTTATCCCCGTAAATGGACGACAATACCCGATTGCGAAATATGCCAAAAAAACTAACAACTATCATGTTACACTCTCTGTACAATTGAACGCGAAATCCTTCATTCACACTTGGGTAATGGTGTAAATTATGCAATTGGCAACTTCTTGCAAGAAACAATGCGCCATTCTGTGAGGTATGCGCATTAGGTTTCGTTGATGGAGGATGTCAGGCGATTGCATTGTTCATCTGCTACGGCACTGCCTATCTTTGTTTGAATAACGTGGTTTAGCCTCCTACTCAAACTGTTTGCACTGCAATCTCCCCAAAATATTTAAATGTATCTGGCTTTTTTTCTCATCTCGACAAGATGTAGTATTGTTGCCCAACTGACGTCGGGTGGAACAGCGTCCCGGTATGACGTTCAAAGTATAGGAATATTGCTTACACGCAACTGGCCGCGTAGGAAAAGTAATGAAAAGAATGGTCTTCACACGCCTCGAGTGGCACCTATAGAGCTGCAATATTTATCCATAGGCTATGGCTGATTTTCGACGAGGCGATTCTTCTATAGACAATGTCGCCGACCTTGTGACCCCTGTGCAACAACTAAATGCTTGAAGTGCATATGTGTGGCTTTTTTTTTTCCTCGACGAGAAAGGGGAGTACCACAACGTAACGTATGACGCCACTAGGGATGCCTCGGAAAATATTGCAATAGGTGTATAAATGTTTCGATGGATTCGGAGCTTCATATTGAAGAATCCTTCTTCATGCATACCTCCGAAGGCTGCACAGTCAGCCATTAAGACCCTCATGGCGTCCCACAGGGTGGGCTACTCAGGTCTGCTTTGACGTCACGATTATTAGACTTGTCCAGGCTCTACCTTGATCAGTCAACCTTTCTGTATACGCTGATGATATTTGCATGTGAGCTTCAGCAGTAACGCAACTACAGGTATGCTTAAGATTCCAAAAAGCAGCGGCAAAATAATGTAGAAGTACCTCCGTGTTCGTGGGCTCAGAATGTGCAGCGAAAAGTGCGCCTAGTTCCCTTTACTAGCAAGCCGGTGTTCTCGAATCCCATTTCAATCGAGAATGTCAAAATTTTGTATAGAAGATGTTATTGACTCTTTGACATCATTACTGACAGAGATATTTCGTGGAGTGCCCACATCTCGCACTTGAAGAAGAGGCTGAATTGTATCGTTCGTGTCATGAAATTATAAAAACGTGGGGCACAGCCGCGTCAGCCATGCTTGAGCTGTACAGAGCGCTCTTCTTGGGGTATCTGCAGTAGAGCACACTTGTGCTTGTATCAAATGCAAAAAAACGTAGCATCTGGGTCCTGAAAAGTATTCAAGGCCCAGTTTTTCGCACATGCTTGGGATTACCTAGGTATGTAAACATGGTCGCCACAATTGCAATTGCCAAAGACTACCAGATTACGATAACTGCCGACACACTCCGGGCACATATTCGTCATATATCCAGACTACCTGACCACCACCTTGGTAGCCTGCCACTAGAAAGATGGAAGACAGAGTTCTGCAGAGCTGTCGTGGCTAACCAGCATTCCACCTCCTGGTGGTTTTCACAGTAAACTATGCCACTGTGCCCGTAGCGGAGGCTGCAAAGATTCTCTGTGCACCTTGAAGTGCCGGGGATACACAAAAAGGCTGGCCTGTCACCTGCAGCTCTCAACCAGATCTCATTGGACCTTTTGGATATATTGTATGCAAACGGAACTCATATGGACGGTTCAGTCTCGGGAAGTTCGACAGACGGCTTTGTGATCCCGTCTCAATCAATCACCGTCAAGTTCAAGACTTCACACGTCATGACATCTACAGGCTCCGAGCTCACCACCCTTCTAACTTTTATGAAATTTGTAATGCGAGAATCCCCTGGTAATTGGGCTTCTCCTGTGACTCCAAGGCACCCCTTCAATGTATGCGAAGTCTACGACGCGGGAACTACCAGCAGTTGGTATCTCAAATCAATAAAATCAGTGATTGCGCGAATAGCCAAGAACATGACAATCTTTCAATGGTTGTCGGGTCACTATGAGATCATTGGCAACCACCTCGCCGACAACGCTACCCGATGTGCCCACGACAGAGCGCCCACACTGCTTATACCCATGTCCAGGGTTGACGCTGCAAGAAAACTTCGCCACATCGCGCATAATGCCACGCTTATGCATTGTAACCTTCCACTGAACTTCACTCAACGTCCACAAAACATCGGTTTATTACTCCAATTACAGCTGCCATCAACAAATCCGTGACGTGACGCTACAATGCTGTGTTGGTTGTGGGTGGGTGCAGCCTTTACCAATTCATTCCGTTATTGCCGTGGTATGGTTAACTCCCCCAACTGTGATAACAGCAACTGCATAGAAACTCTCGACCATGTATTGTGCCATTGTTCAGACTGAAGAAGATTACGGGACTCTCCAGTGTTTCTGAAGGAGACTGAATGGTCTATCAATCACTCTGAAGAAGATCTTGGGTGCGTGGCCTTCAAGTACATCAGCTCAGAAAACCACACGAGCCCTTCTGCCATTCTTGAGGGCAACATCACTGAGCCACCACCTGTGATACCCTGCACATGTGCGTGCGGTGTGCGTGTTGTATGCAATGTCAATGTACTCCTCTCTTCAACTCCCTCATTTCTCTCTCCCCAGGTGTAGGATAGCAAACTAGACAGTCTAGTTACCCTTCCTACATTTCTTACATCATACATTTATTGCAGGCCAACCTCCTGTATAATTAATGCATTTGCATGTGTCTATTACCATCACAGTCTTTCCCACAAGTACCCACCATCTCGTGCTAGGTCATACACGTTCTCGTGCTAGGTATTGATAAGTATAGCCAGACAGACATGATTTTACTTCACTTCTCAAAAGCATTTGACTGTGTTTGTAACACCAAACTAATAGATAAACTAAAACAACATTGGGATCAAAAAATTGTTGTTGGGTGCGTGAGGTTTAGTTTATTAGGTCCCAGTTTGTTGTCTTCTAACACATTGCATCAGATATTGTACTAGTTACGTCAGTAGTGCCCCTGAGTTGCGTGCTCGGGCCCTTGTTATTTCTCGTATATACAATGACATATCTACTACTATAGACTGTAAAATACGGTTAATTGTGGATGACTGTATTAGAGTAATTAAATTTACCAAGATCAATAATCACTCAACGAATAAGTCTATGCTTTTTTCGAATGGTGCTTCAACTGGCACATGACAAACAATGAAAAAAATCAGCTTGTATGACAATTAGGAGAAAGAGCCAGCCTTCATAGTCATGCTGCCGAATCAATGGCACTGCTTTGAATTGAGCACACAAAAATAAATACCTAGACGCAACAATTACGTCCGAATTAAGGCACGATGAGCACATTGGTCACATTACTTCATTTCTCACGAAAAACTTTTTTCTTCGAAGATCTTTTCATATGGCAACCTTGTTAATAAAGGTCCTAGAATGCACAACATTTTCAGGCTGATCCTCGAATACGGAAGTACATTGTGGTTTCGTCACACCCGCACTTACATAAAGAAAATAAACAAAGTAAACAGGAGGGCTATACGATTCATTCACAACAAATGTTAGCGTGAACAATCATCCACTATTCTAAGTATATCTCGACTTCCCGCGCTATAACTACAAGCGAAACAGGCACGTATCAAATTTGTTTATCAACTCCTGCACAGTCACTTTAATATAGACATTTCAAACTACACGCCTTAGTCTCAAACAGGAGCCACCAGGCACAGTAATGCAAACACAGTAGTACAATACAAATGCAACATTACTGCGTTCAAATATTCCTGTTTCCCGGTTGGCATCCGTGAATGGAATATGGTAACACCCTACATCACTAACACTGAGTCATTGTCTCTA